GGCTGCATAGTGGAGTGGACTTGGGGGAAGGGATTGCATAACAACGAAGGAGTTGTTCTTTTTCTTTTCAAGGAGAAGAGTGATTTGTGGGGGAGGGATTGGGCAGGGAGACTAGTACAATAATGAATGACTGGAAACCCTAAGTCTCTGTAAACTTTCCTTAAAATTAATTTTAAAAAAGAGGGGGGGGAAAGACAAGTAATAGTAGGCATAGCTCAATGATGAGTAATTTTATAAAATACAGTGTATGAAAATGATCATGTGAAATACAATGTGAATAAAGGAATGTGTGGAACATAATGTACATTAATTTAAAACAATGAATATGAGTGTTGTATGCAAAACAGTATAAAATAGGAAAAGAACAACTTATGGCAAAACAGTATAAAATAGGAAAAGAACAACTTATGGCCTGAGAAATCAATAGAGGCCCATAATGAGTCTGAATCTATTCAATGCTAATGAATAGTGCTGCAAAAGGAGGTCTGGTGTGTAGTCAGTTAAGCCTTGAGCTGCGGAGAGGAAAGTCATTTATTTGAACTTATTCTGCAAAAGAAATTTGTGACAGCTTTTTCTCCTGGAAACCATTTGGGGAAGTTCTATTCTGTCCTATAGGGTTGAAATACAGTCGAAATGTTGTGAAGTCCACTCCAGTACCCACTTCTTAACCTCATTCATCTTTATAGACTAGTTTGCTGAGCACCTGTCTCATGTCACGCCAACTCTGTTTCATTACATCTCTCTACCTGGGCTGTAGAACCTACTTTCTATTATTACTCTTCAGAAATAAGGTGCCAATGGAGTTTCTGTTTTTCTTATATTAATCATAAACCAAAAGGTAAACTCTGAGCAAAAGCCGGAAGAAAATGTTGTGTACTGTTGAGTTAGAGCTGATGCATAGCTGACCTTCCTGTGGGTTTTCAGAGGCAGTTAACCTCTCGAGAGGAGATTGCCCATCCTTCTCCCACAAAGCAGCTGGTGGATTTGAACTGCATGCCTTCAGGATTGCAACACCTGAAGAGAATGTGGAGATCTGGTTTGTTTGGGTTTGTTTTGTTGGTTTTTTTTTTTTTTTAATTTTACTTTATTTTGTTTCGAGTGCACTGTATTTCACACTATTCTTCATTCACATTGTTTTTCATACAATCATTTCATTGCATTATGTTTTATAAAATTAATCACCATTGGCCTATGCCCATCATTACTCTGTCTTTTCATTACCCCCTCCCTCCACCCACCAAATTGTATAAACCTGTGGTTTTGCTCCTACCCCTCCTTACCCCTCCACACCCACTCTTTACCCCCTTGGCTCCCCATACATATTTTACTAATAATCCTTCTATTTTTTTTATGCACGTTTGGAAGCAGGCGTGGCATCCTCTTCCTAAATAGCATGCCTTGGAAACACTATGAACTTTGATAAATGTTAATAGTTGTAGAGGAGCTTCAGGTCTTTTGTTCATAGGGTCACTATGAGTCGTGCTTGACTTGAAGGCAATCATCAACAACAACAACATGTTCTTATGTGGTATTTGTCCTTATGAAACTGAGTTAATTCACTCAGCATAATGCTCTCCAGTCTCTCTGAAGTTACGTAGTATTTTTTTTAATTGTTGCTCCTGAATGCTGCATAGTATTCCGTTGTCTGAGTGTACCACAATTTCTCAATCCATTCCGTTTTGGTTGGATATTTGGACTGTTTCCATGTTCTTGCAGTAGTGAATAGCACTGCAGTCAATGTTAGTGTGCAAGCCCCCATTTGTGTCCCACTTCTAAGTTCCTTGAGTTGTATTTCTTTTAGTGGATTAACTGGGTCATACGGAGTTTCTATGTTCAACCTTTTTTTTTCTATGTTCAACATTTTGAGGCATCCATCATAAAACTGCCCTCCAGAGTGATTGTACCATTTTACAATCCCACCAACAATGTTTGAGAATGCCCTCCTGAACTTTAGCACTGTTATAAGGGTGAGATGGTATCTCAATATGTTTTTTTATTTGCTAGTGACTTTAGGCTTTTTTTCATGTGTATTTTGACCATCAGAATTATTGTACACAGAAAACCCAAGGACTCAACAACAATAACAAAAAGGAAAAAAAAAAAAGACGTTCGAGCTAGTGAACAAATTTAGTAGTATGGCAGGATGCAAGATCAATATCCAAAATCAGTGGGATTCTAATACAGTAACAAAGAGAACTTAGAGAAGGAAACCAAGAAAGCAGTATGATTTATAGTAGCCAACCACAAATTGAGATACTTGGATACTTGGGAGTGAACCTAACTAGAGACACAAAAGGCCTATACAAAGAAAACTATAGAACATTTTTGTGAGACACAATAAAAGACTTAAAGGAGTGGGGAAATGTGCCCTGTTCAAGGATAGGAAGACTCAATATTGTGACAATGACAATCCTACCAAAAGCAATCTACATATTCAGTGTAATCCTAATATAAATACCAAATTCATTTTACAAGGAGATAGAAAGTGAAATTGTCAAGCTAATTTGGAGAGGAAAGAAACCCTGAATAAGCAAAGCACTTCTGAGAAACAAAAATGAAGTGGAGGTATAGCACTCCCTGACCTCAAAATCTGCCTCACTGCTACTGGGGTGAGATAGTATCTCAGTGTAGGTTTTTGTTTGTTTTGCTTGGTTTGTTTTTTGCTGTTTTTTTGTTTGCTTGTTTGTGGTTTTTTTGTTTTGTTTTGTTTTTTGGTCTTTTGTTGTTGTTGTTGTTGTTACTTTGTGTCTCTCTTATTGCCAATGATTTTTATCATGTCTTCATGTATCTGTTGACCATTCTTCTGTGAAGTCTTTCCATGCCTTTTGCCCATTTTGTAATTGAGTTAGCAGTCTTTTTCTTTTGGAGGGCCTGGAGTATTCCGTAAACTTTTCCTATGAAACCCTTGTCTGAGATGGTATTGCCAAATGTGTGTTCTCAGTTAGTAGGTTTTCTTTCCTTCTGTTGAAAAAAGGTTTTGATGAGCATAGACATTTAATCTCTAGAAAATTGCATCCATCAATTTTCTCTTCTCCAGATTATGCATTTCTGGCTGAATTTGGCAGCCCCTTTATACTATAGACTAGGCCTTCTAAGCTTAGCTCCAGTTTGTGTCTTATTAATTTTATGATTTTGGCCTTTACTCCCAGGTCTCTGATCCACCTTGAGTTGATTTTTATGTATGGTGTGAGATGTGGATCCTGTTTCAGCTTTCTCCAGGTAGAAGTTTAGTAGGGTAACAAGCAATAAATTTTTGAGAGATGAGAACTCATACACTGTTGGTGGGATTTTTAAATGGTACAATCCCTCTGGAATACAATTTGGCATTTCCTCAAAAAGTTGAACATAGAAACTCCATATGACCCAGCTATTCCACTACTAGAAATATACACCAAGGAAATTAGAACTGAGACACAAACAGAGATCTGTACACAAATGTTTGTAGCCATGTCATTCACCATCACAAGAATATTTAAACAGCCTAGATGTCCAAACAAAACTGCATAAATTGAGAAATGTGGTACACTCACACAATGGGATACTATGCAGCACTTAGGCGCAACAATTTTTAAAAATACTACATAACTTGGGGGAGACTAGAGAGCATTATACTGAGTGAACTAGCTCAGTCTCATATGGACAAATACTGCATAAGACAATTATTGTAAAAATAGATACCTAGTAAAACATATATTGGAACCCAAGGGGGGAAGGGGGGAGAGTTGAGGGGTGAGGATGGGTAGGGGTAAAACCACACAGTCACACAGTTTGGTGGGTAGAGGGAGGACAGAGAAGGAAATGGGATAGATCTGAGTGAAAAGACAGGGTAATGATGGACAAGGTCTCAGTGGTGATTAATTTCATAAAATAGAATTCATGAGAATGATTATATGAAAAATTATTGTTGTTGTTATGTGCCGTTGAGTCGCCTGCAATAAAGAAGAATATAGTGAAACACAACATATACAAACTTTGTAAGCAAAACAATAAAAAAATTAAACCAAAAACCCTTACTGGTACTCATACAATCACAGGTACACAGACCAATGAAACAGATTTGAAAATCCAGAAATGGACCTTTCTATTTGTGGTCAACTGATATTTGACAAGGAAATAAAACCTATCAAATGGGAAAGTGACAACCTCTTCAACGAATGGTGCTGGCAAAACTGTATTACTAACTCTAGAAATCTGAAACAGATCTACATCTTACATCATACATGAAAATCAACTCAAGCTGGACCTTGGAGTAAAGCCCCAAACCGTAAAATATATAAGAAACAAACAGGGGCCAAGCTTAGAAGGCTTAGTCTATGGTATAAAGAGACTTCCAAATACAACTATAAATGCACAATCTGGAAAGGATAGAACTGATGAATGAGACTTTCTAAAGATTAAATCTCTGTGCTCATCAAAAACTTTTTCCATCAGGGAGGGAAAAACCACTTCTAACTGAGAAAGAACTTTTAACAATACTATCTCAAGCAAGGGTCTCATAATGAAGGTTTACAGAATTCTCCTGGGCCTTCAGAAGAAAAAAACTGATAACCCAATTACAAAATGGGCAAAAGACATGGAAATACTTTTCATAACGATTGTTTTTACTCATATTTTTCCTTTTGTTTTTATCCATTCTGAAAGTAAGTTCTATGATAGTTGATTTTCTAATAGTGATAACTAGAAATAAAATGTTTTGAACCATAGTAGAAATGTATGTATGTGTATGCACATATGCATGTGAGTGTGCACATGTCTCCACTACATGTGTGTTTTGTGTGTGTCTAAACTGTATGTAAACTTAGATATGGTTGTACTTCACATGGACATCTGTCATGGTTGTAAATTCTTAATTACGCCCATTTCACCCCTGGAAAGTAATAAACAAGAAGGAAGAAACTCTTCTTGTTAATGAGAAATTCTTTATTGCACATTTTCTTTTCTAAAAGGAACCCATTATTGATGCCTTAATATTATAATCTCTTTCTACATGTTGTTCACAGGCAAAAACTGGGATCTGACTGCTGCTCTGAGTGATTATGAGCAACTTCGACAGGTGCACACCACCAATCTGCCACATGTGTTCAATGAGGGAAGGTGCCCCAAGCAGCAGGAAAGAGACTTGCAACCATCTGGGCACAAGGTGGAGCGGCCCTGCTCACAGAGACAGGATGACATTGCCCAAGGTAAAGTCTATCCAAGAAGCTTAGATTGAGGCTGGTCCTAGCTTGTGTGCCTTCTCCAGCAGTGGTGTTAAGGTGGTGAAAAGATAGGCAAGATTGCCCTCCAAGCTATATTGGCCTCTTAGTGCACCATCTCATGTACTAAGCTGAAATACCCTAGGCAGGTTCTATCCACAGCAACTGCCTCAGAAAAGTAGAAAGTCCATTTCCTTGGAAACCAAACATAACTTTCTGTAATTAGTAACCAGATCTTTTCTTCTTCTTGGATTACTGTTTATTCTAAACATTTCTAGTTCCTTCAATTATTTCCCAGATACTATGTGTGAAAGAATTGGCAAAAATCAAGGCCCCAGGAATTGATGGCATCCAGTTGACATATTTCAACAAACACCTGGATGTGCTCACCAAGTTGTGCCAAGTAATTTGGAGGAAAACAACCTGGCTAACTGGCTGGAAGATATCTGTATTTGTTCTCATTCCAAATAAAGGACCTGACAGTGCGGAAATTATCAAACAATATCATTAATAACACATGAAAGCAAGATTCTGCTGAAAATGATCCAAAAATTACTGAAACAGCATGTCAACAGAGAACTGCCAGATGTGCAGGCTGGGTTTAGAAGAGGTCGCAGTACTGGGGATATTACAGCTGATGTTAGATGAAACTTGCCTGAAAGCAAGGAGTACCAGAGGAATGTTTATCTGTGTTTCATTGACTATGCAAAGGTATTTGACTGTGTGGACCACAACAAACTGTGACTAACTCTGAGAAGAATGAGAATCTCAGAACACTTATCATGCTTATGCAAAACCTATACTTGGACCAGGAGGCTGTTGTCAGAACAGAGCAAGGAGACATTGCATGGTTCAAAATTGATGTTTGTATGCCAGGAATGTGTCCTAGCTCCATACCTGTTTAATCTATATGCAGAACAGATTGTCAGGGAAGCTGGGCCCTGTGAAAAGAAATGTGGCATCAAGATCAGAGAAGGACTCATCAACAATGTGTTCTATGCAGATGATACAACCTCCTTGCTGAAACTGAGGAGGACCTGGATTCCTTGCTGCACAAGGTCAAGGACTGCAGCTTTCAATATGGATTGAAGCTCAACATCAAGAAAACAAAGATTCTAACTACTGGGCCGATTGACAGCATCATGACAGATGGTGAAGAGATTGAGACTGTTAACAGCTTTACTTTGCTTGGCTCCACAGTCAAGACTCTTGGTACCAGTAGCCAGGAAATCAAAAGAGCAATTGGTTTGGGTAAGTCTGCTGTCAGGAACCTCTCCAGAGTACTGAAGAGCAACATTGTCAGTCAGGAGACTAAGGTGTGCCTGATACAGCCCATAGTCTTTGCAGTTACTTGCTATATGTCAGAAAGCTGGACAATGAGTAGAAGTGATAGCAGAATTGATGACTTTGAGCTGTGGTTCTGGAGAAGAATACTGAATATACCATGGACTGCTAGGAGAACAAACAGGTTCAACCTAGAGAGGGTGAAATCATGCTGCACTTTGGATGCAAGGATTCTGAAGCTTCATCTGACATACTTTGGACATGTTGTAAGGATGGACCAGTCCTTGTAAAGGTACTTCATGAGTGGAGTGACAGTGCAAGAGAGGAAGACCTTTGATGAAATGGATTGATTGAGTGACTTGGGTAATGGGGATATGTGTGTCAGAAATAATAAGTTTGCCTCAGGATGGAGCAGCATTCAGAGCTGTTGTGTATAGGGTTGCAATGAGTCACAAGTGACTTGATGACATATAACAATAACAACAACAACCAGTGAGTTGTATCTGGCTCACAATAATGGTGTAAAACAGAACAAAACCTTGCTTGACACTGTAACACCCTCCTAATCTCTGCTGTGCTGCATCTTGTTCCTGTCACCATGTCAGCCTGTTTCAGTGAGGATCTACCTTTTGAGTATGCCTTTCCAGAAGTGGTCCTTTCTAGTATCATACTCTAAGTATGTGAGACAAATTTTTAACATCTTTGCTTCTAAGGAGTACTCTGGCTTTAATTCTTCTGAGACAGATTTGTTTGTTCTTTGGTAGTTTATTTGACTATATTTTAAATACTCTTCACCAACATGACAGTTTGGATACATCAAGTAGATAATAATGTAATATATTCTCTTAATAACCAAACCAGCTGTAATGCTCTTGACTCTTATCCAAGAGTTGCAGTAAGTACTGATGATCTTTCAGAAATAGATAACTTGACCTTTCATTAAGGTGTTTCTTGGTAGATTTGAACCATCAAACTTTTGGCTAATAGCTGAGCACTTAATCATTTGTACTACCCAGGGATTTTAGTCTTTAAATAGCAGCATATCATTCCACAGCATACAGTTGATTCTGGTGTGACATCATCCATTTCATTTCTTATTAATGTATTTGTTTTCCTTTAAAGTAACCAGTGTTCTGTCAATTTTGTTAATTTTTCTCAAGAAACACCTCCCAGTCTTATTGATTCTTTCTGTATCTTTCCTGTCATGTATTTCTGGTCTAATCTTTATTATCTTTCTTCTGGAAATTACAGAATTTTTTGCTATTCCTTTTTTTGGTTATTGGAGTCACTGGGTTAAAGTATAGGGTTTCCCCCCTTCATCTTAAGGTGTTCATTTGTTGCTATATTTGCCCTTTAAGCACTGGTTTGCTGTGTCCCAAAGGTATGTTGCATATAAATTCTTATTTACATCTTAACTAAATTTTTTATTTATTTCTACTATGCCCTGCTTGCTGAAACTGAGGAGGACCTGAAGCACTTGCTGCAGAAGGTCAAGGACTTCAGCCTTCAATATGGATTGAGGCTCAATATCAAGAAGACAAAGAACCAAATGGCAGCATCAGGATGGATGGTGAAGAGATTGAGGTTGTTCACAGCTTTAGTTTGCTTGGCTCCACAGTCAACACTCTTGACACCAGTAGCCAGGAAATTAAAAGACGTATTGCCATGGGAAAGTTTGCTGTCAGGGACCTCTCCACAGTACTGAAAAGCAATGGTGTCTCTCTGGAGACTAAGGTGGGTCTGATAAAGGCCATGGTCTTTGCAATCACTGGTTATGCATCAGAGAGTTGGACAATAACTAGGGAGGATAGAGGGAGAATTGATGCCTTTGACCTGTGGTGCTGGAGAAGAGTATTGAATATACCATGGACAGCTAAGAAAACAAACAGGTTCATTCTGAAGAGGGTTAAACCGGGAGGCAAGGATTCTGAGGCTTTGTCTGACATACTTTGGTCATGTTGTAAGGAGAGACCTGGAGAGGGACATCATGCTTGGGAGGGTGGAGGGCAGGAGCAAGAGGGGAAGGCCCTCTATAAGGTGGATTGATTCAGTGACTGGGGTAATTGGGATGGGTGTGTCAGAGACAGTGAGATTGGCACAGGACAGAACAGAGTTTAGGGCTGTTGTACATAGGGTTGCTATAAGTCGCAAATAACTCGACGGCACATAACAACAACAACTACAACAACAATTTCTACTATTACCCAGTAGATTTTGAGCAGGGTGTTATTTAGTTTTCATGTATTTTATTTATTCCCTCTGGTTTCTAGTTGTTGATCTAATTTTATTTTTTTTATATTTTTGTGATCCAAAAATTATTTTCTTTTGATATTTTAAAGTGTATTGATGTGTATTTATTGTTGTCTTGTTGTTGTTGTTGTTGTTGTTGTTGTGTACTGTTGAGTCTGAACCTACCAATAGCTTAGCCACTGGTGGATTTTCGAAGGCAGTTTATCACACAGTAGGAGACTGCCCACCTTTCTCCTACAGAGAAGCTGGTGAATTTGAACCAATGTGCCCTTAGGATTGCAGTGCAGCTTCTTACCACTAGGCCACTTGATGTTTTGTTGTTTTCATATGCTGTCGACTCGCAAGTGACTCATAGCGAACCTGTGTACAACAGCCGTAAACCCTGCTCTATCTTGTGCCAATCTCACTGTCTTCAACACACCTATTACCTCGATTACCCCAATCACTGAGTCAGTCCACCTCATAGAGGATCTTCCTCTCCTGCACTGTCCCTCCATCCTCCAAAACATGATGTCTTTCTCCAAGGACTGGTCCCTCCGTGCAACATGTCCAAAGTATGTCAGACAAAGCTACAGAATCTTTGCTTACAAGGAGCAGCCTGGTTTAACCCTCTCCATGGTGAACCTGTTTGTTTTCTTAGCAATGCATGGTATATTCAATGCTCTTCTCCAACACTCCTTCTATCCTCCCTAGGCATTGTCCAGCTCTCTGACACATAAACAGTGATTGCAAAGACCATGGCCTGTATCAGACACACCTTAGTCTCCAGAGTGACACCATTACTCTTCAGTACTTTGGAGAGGTCCCTAACAGCAGACTTTCCCATTGCAATATGTCTTTTAATTTCCTGGCTGCTGGTGCCCAGAATGTTGACTGTGGAGCCAAGCAAACTAAAGCTGTGAACAATTTTAATCTTTTCGCCATCCATCCTGATGCTGCCAATTGGACTAGTGGTGAGATCTTTGTCTTCTTGATATTGAGCCTCAATCCATATCTAAGACTGTAGTCCTTGACCTTCTGCAGGAAGTGCTTCAGGTCCTCCTCAGTTTCAGCAAGCAGGGTTGTGTCATCTGCATAAGAGAGATTGTTGATGAATCTTCCTCCAATCCTGATGCCACACTTCTCCTCATACAGCCCAGACTCTTGGATAATCTGCTCTGTATACAGGTTGAAAAGGTATGGAAATAGGAAACTTGGCATACATCCTTTCCAATTTCGAACCATGCAGTGTTTCCTTGCTCTATTCTGACGACTGCATCCTGGTCCAAGTATAGGCTACACATTAGCCCAATCAAGTTTTTGAGGATTCTCTTTCTTCTCAGAGTCATCCACAGTTTCTTGTGATCCACAAAGTCAAATGCCTTTGCATAATCAATGAAACATAGATAGACATTCTTCTGGTACTCCCTGCTTTCAGCCAAGATCCATCTAACATTATCCCTAGTACTGTGACC